GCCTTTTTTTAAAAGCCTCGTGACATATTGACAGATCAATAAAGACTCATCAAGAAACACGCACATACGAATGTTACGCATGCAAATTGTGGAACAATTAAGCGTATGTGTGGAAGCAATGTTTTCCATAGCAGTTTTAAAATTGCAAGCAAATTAAAAGTCTAAATAAAAAATGAGTTGGAGTATCACACCTTGGCCTCTACGTGGCGGAAATCCAATGTGGGATTAGTGTTGAGCAAGATTGACGGCAAAGTACAAAACAAAATGAGTTCGGAATCACCAACTAGTTTTTATGATGCCGAACATATGAAGACGATTAAAAATATGAATATTATAATTGGGTTATACTTTAATAGACCTGGATTTGAAAGGGTAGTTTTGTATTTCACTATTTCATCGGTCCTGGTATCCGGTCAAGTTTTTGCCGTAAGTACATTTTTTAAGCACAAATATTAGTAAATCTTGGATGCTTTGTATTGTATCAATGATAAGTATTTTTCAACTTAGAAGTAATAATGTGTCAGGGATGTGCGGTTGTATCCAAAAGTTACTGACGTTTCGAAAATTGACTATGCGTTAAGACTCAAGGCAAATACATTTTTGGAGTAAATACTTATGTTTCAATCTTTTTATTTAAAAAAAAATACATTATTTCACACCCACGAAACTATCATAAAAATGGAACGTTGAATACTCAATCTTACAGTTATGTTTACCCAATAAATTTTTTACCATACATACAACCAAACGCTAATTTCAAAATACATTTTTTTCTACTTTTGGCTTTTTTTACCGTAGACATTTACCGCGACCTCAGTAGGAAAAAAAGAGTTTGCACCTGAGGCGCATCCAATCAGGGCAAGCACAAGAAGTCCCTAGGGGTCAGTGCTTGCCCTGGAGACATGTGCCACCAGGTACAAGAACTGGTATTAACATGAATCTCGATAAACTAGCGATTTCTGTAAACACTTTATTATGTAATAATTAAAAAAAAATATCAAATTATTTTTTTTAGTTATTAGGTGTAATAAACAACTGGAGAGAAAATTTCTTACTGTGGGCAGAAAATTTTATTATTCTCCTGTTTTTAACTGGAACACAAGTGGAATATTATTACATTATACTGAATGTAAAGAAGGTACTAGTGTGAGATTATTGTTTATGTCTAAATTTAAATATTTATATGTACGTACATGAATAATATTAGTAAACTATGATTACGTTTGTTGAGATACGTAAGTTGTATACAATTTTGGAGGATAATTGGATATCCATAAATAATTATAGCGAAAAGGGCATTATGATAAAATATGCCAATATTGGATTGCGTTACGTACACATTATATTAGGTAACTATCCAAATGCAAATTATGATCAACAACAAAAGCTTAAGTATAATTTTGCAATGTTATTTTATAGGCTTTTTAATTATGGGTTTTATAATAGCTGTTCTGTCATCTTTATTACCAGTATATTTAGACATGATTGCACCATTAAATGAGCCTCGACCAAGAATTGCGTTTTTAAAAGTCAATATCATTACTGATCCAAACGAAAATTATTTCATGCACTACTTTGCGTGTTTGGTGCTTATGATTGTTACGGATTATATTGTAATGTCTATTCTTTTCGCTTTTTTAATTTTCGAGTATCACATTTTTGGAATATTCAACATTATCAAGTAAGATATACATAAGCACACAAATTAAATAAATTACTTGGAGCAGTACCAACGTTTCAATCATAAAAATTATGACGAAAAATCTTTTTAGGTACCGTTTACGATTGGCAACAACGGAACTTGCAGAGAAAAAAGAAGAATCCTATGACATGATTATTTCTGCTATTAAATTACATCAAGATTGTTTAAAGTAAATATGCATGCATACAAGTTAAAGTATTACTAAAATAAATATTTACCACTAAAGTACTTAAAAAAAGAAGGCTACAAGACGTAAAATATCTTATTAAAAAAAATTTTAATTTTCACAGCTTCTTTGAATTAGTTTTTTCTGCTAACATACAATAACGAGATTGATTGATCTCTCCCAAATTAGAACAATTATTATTCGGCTTAAACCTTTGTATTGGCTGTTTTAGAGAAGCCTGTATAATTTTTTTCCATTCCTATTATGTATGCCAGTTTTTCTGAAAAAATAAAACTCATTTTTTTATACTTGTTCGATAAAATAATCAGAATTGTGACGACAGTCGACGAATCCTTTAACATATTATTTGGCTTCAGTATTTTAGAATTGTTAATATTTCTTAGCATCATACCAGTCGCTGTAAGTCTGCTTTTTATGAACAATTTCATACCTTCTTATCAAATAACATGAACGAAATAAAAAACTCAATATTGCAGATACTTGAAACAGCCAACTTTTATGAGTTAGCCAGACAAAGTACGTTTTTGGTTGCAGTAGCAGGGGCTTTATTTGTACTAAATTGGCCTGGACAGTTATTAGTAAATGAAAGCGAAGATTTGTTTTTATCAACGTAAGTATTTTGTATTTGTATTTGAAGATCATGTGCTCACAACTTGTTATGATGATTTACCAAAGTATTTACTTCCGTAGGTATATGGGCGAATGGTATCGATTGTCAAAGGAATCAAAAATTTTGCTTATAATTATAAGGTATAGATGCATACAACCTTGTATGTTTACGGCAGGGACGTTTTGCACTTTAAACTACGAGACTTTCGCTCTGGTAAGTACACATGTTCTATTTATTTGCAAAATGAGAATTATGTTGTTATAAGTTATTGCAAATATAAATATTTGTTTTTTAGATCATGAAATCAGCGTTTTCTTACATGACCTTTCTAAATTCTGTACGGCAGTAGTTTTTGCCAATAACAAGAGTCCAGAGAACCTAATAAATCCAAGTATTTTAATGCCTCCAAAAAAATTTTTTTTTTACTTTGACCACTTGAATTCGAATGTCAAATGAAGTTCCCTGAAAGTTAACAGAGAGTGTAATTTATAATTCAAATCAATAGATGTGACTCAACAAATGTTACGCGCGATGTTCATTATTCAACACTTGAAATATGGATTTTCTTGGTGACGAGGAGAAACGACGTAGAACAAACCAACACACTAAGATTTACAACTCCTGTTTAGAATATGTAGTTCAATTGTTTGTGATTTTAATTGCTTCGTGAATTACTCTGACCTTGATGGTACAGACTATAGTAATGTTCACGATGGCCTTTCAGGTTTTGTTTAAAGTAGGATGTGATGGACGATTAATTAAAAAGATTTTGGATGATTTGTGTAAATTCTATACAAAAGTATACACAAATGTATTTATCAAAAGTGTTGAAAACTGATAAGTTTTCTATTGACATATTTTTTTAAACCAGAGAGTCTCATCTTTAAAATATATTTTTACTTACAAAACTATATTTGAAAATATATTGATATCCAATTTTGTTTTTTCAAGGCAATTTTATACAAGACTATTGAAATAGTATTATTGTTTAATAATTTCTAATTAATACTTAAATCAATCTAGAAATCATTACAGAATATTTTTTTTAGTATTTAGATAAGAGGTGATCAAAATATTATGAAAATAATAGCCAACAGAAGTTTAACTTTCATCGAATCTTTAAACATGTCCTCATTGTACTGCAACATTACTATGGCTAATATGCCTTATCCTGATGCACCACAACTGCTGCAAGGGACGACAGTACTGCTGAATTATCTACTCTCATTAACTTTTTTTTCAAATTAAACAAGATTTAGTTTCGTAGTTATATGTTCATGTCAGACGTTCTATGTATCAACCTTTATTATGTATTTTATTATAGCTTTATACAATATTTCTATCATTAAATATCGTACGCAAAATAAGAAAGTGTTTTCTTTTTTTTGTAATTATACCACTAATACCTTCATAAGTTTTTCACGGCCCACATTCTCTTCAAATTTCTACGATGTTTTTTTACAGGCTAAGCACATATCAAAGTTTACAATCGAAAGTCATATACTCTTTGGTACTTGTCGAAGTAAGAGACATTGTTTTCTCAATGTCAAATTGTTTCGAACAAATTATAATACGTTTATTAAATAATGTTATTTATTTGAAATGTGTGTACGTTTTAATGAATTGTTAACTCTTTCTATAATTTTGTTGAAACAATTGGAAATTAGAAGTTATTTCGATTCTTTGCCATAATTTTAGAACAAAAAGCGCTTGACTTTTCTACTAAGAGTTATTTCTCGTTGGGACAAAGGGCACTAAAATTCCATTTGAATTTGTATCCCGAATCGGACGAGTGTTCTCAGTAGGCTTTGTTATATGTTTTTTTTCAATTAATTTTTAGTTAAATAATTTGGCTACATCTCTTAAATCCAAAAATATACTTTTTTCATTGAATTTTAAAAACTTGTACAATTGCGTTATATCCAGTCTGATTATGTAAGTTATACCTTATTGTGATATTTTCTCTTTAACATTATAAATTAATCCCAAAGTTTTCCTTACTTTGATAAAAGTAAAAATGTTTATTCGCATTCCAACAGCTCTTTGTAAAAATGAATCCCAACTTAATCAGAATTGGTCAATTTAGTCATGATTTTATCTTAAAATGGAGAGTAAAAACTAACCATGGTTAGGACGAAAAGTAAAATGCAAATTGTAAACAACGGTATTATGTAAACATTATAATGTTTAGGTTGGGAACATTACTCAGATCTTTTTTTGCGAAATTAGAATATATGTATTACGAGTTAGAAAAAGTATAATTACAATTGATAAAATGAAATAAAATTAAACTATTATAGTTAGTCTCAGATACTTCTTGTGAAAAAGTGTAAAGATAATTAAATTTCCTATAACAACCGTGTTTAATCAAAAACATATTCATAATATGTAGGAGTGTGTGGGTGCCTCTTTGAGTTTTTATGTACACCTTTATGTCCCAAGATTTTGTTAACCTATTTTAATTTTATATGGCTAATTTAATTTTAGATAAGGTTTACTAGAAAAATTTTTTTTTTATTTTATTGTATTTATTTATTTTAGTTTTTTTAAATCAATTTTTTATTGAAAAAGAGAAATTCTTAGATTTTTACATTTGTTTCTGGATATTTTATATGGAAAAACATAAAAGAAAAAAATTATTCACAACATTCTCAGCTCATGTGCTGGCTTCAGATCAAAAGCTACTCGTAATAAACAAAACTTACCAATAATAGTAAGACGTATTTATGCTATTGAATTTTTAGTTTTTATAACGTTTATGATTAAAAGTACTTTATGACTGACCAACTTTTTATTACTTTTTTCCATGAATTTCTGAGAAAAGATTATGTTCCCTCAAAACCTTTTTTTTCTCTTTCTACAGTGGTATAGCTTTTGTAAAAAATATCCTCGAAACAATTAGAATAGTAACTACTTTTGAAGCATACTTTTTTGAAACCCCCAATTAAAGAGACCTCAAGTCTTTTATAAAATAAAGGTAACAGGAATAAGTTAAAATCTGTAAATGTGTCAACGTATCAAATTTATTACTTATTTTAATATTCAATTTATAACGTGAATAAGTAGTAACGGAGTTTTAGGATTAAGAATAGTTACAAATAAAATTGTGTGTGATTAAATTCAATAATTAATTTCAATTTCGAATAATAAAATTTAAATTATATGTACCGTGGTACGATAATGTAAATTTAGAAGGGCATCGAGTTTAAGTAAGGTAGAAAACTTTTTTATCTGATATAGTAAAAGTCTCTTTCTATTACTTACAATTGGTCGAAAAGATTTCGTGAATGAAAATTATTTATAGATTATATATGTTTGGTAATAAATACAACAGTGTTAACATAATGTGATACATAAATAATTATGCTCGTTGAAGAATATTCTTCGTTCAATTATAAGATTTCAGTATAAGTATTTTGAAAATATATTCTAAAATTATTGAAGTATGTCGTTCCTTAATAATCGTTATTATTTGTACATGTAATTTTGTGTGAGCAAGAGAGTTGTCAGTGACATTCCAAAGATTTGTCCAAAGTTATTTTTAATTTGAAGGCAATTTTGACACATAGAAAAAATAAGAATCTTTGTCTCGTTTTGAAAAGTTGTAACTATAGAATTTTTTTTACTTTATGTATCATAAGTACTTAATAATTTAACATTATGCTGTTAATTTTTCCAGATATTCAAATTATTTTATTAATAATTTTATACAATATTGCTTTTATCTCAAAAAAAATTATTTTAATTTACAATAAAGCTTAGATTCTGCACCTAAAATATTTTATATATGTATGTCTAACTAAATTAATGAAATTGAAACGAAGAAAGCAGAAACTGAGCCTTTAATGAAATTGAAAAAAAAATTTGAGAAACTACAAATATCTATTATTACATTATATTTTTAACATTATTTTTAATTTTTTGTTGTAATGTGACAATATATGTGCTTACATAGTTTGTACGTACTCAATTTTCCTGTTATTGGTTGAAACGTCTTGTATTGCTA